ATCATTTCTCTCCAAATTCATTTGGTGAATCTCTTGCTATATGAGCATCTCATACTTAACTGATTACAAGGCCCAACATTGGTGAACGAGCTAAGGTTTTAGAGAGGTGTTCAATTTCCTATTCAATCAACATGCACTTGACGTTATATTTTATCCCTCCCTCGTTTATGCATAAAGCACTGAGGCAAGCCAGAGATGAAAATTATAAAATACCCAGAGCACTCTGATAATCCGTGGAATCATTACCACCGACAAGATAATATTAAAGCAGAAACAGTTAAATTCTGTCCCGTCTTCCGAATGATAATGCCTGTGGTGTCGTCGATCCTACAAGGTAATAATTTAGTAAAAACATTTGGATTCTGTCCCATCTTTCGAAAAGACGTGACGCATGTCCTAACTAAAACGAGGCTAATTTTTTCATTTCAAATAAGCGGCCAATTCTACTTCGTTTATACGTAAAATTCATTCACAAGCCACTCGCGTGAATTGAACGTGCGCGTAACATTTTAACGTCGTAAGCATTCGCCGCTCAAGGAAAACATTGCCTTTTAATAATTCACGAACTTTCATCATTTCTATTCTGAATTCATTCATGTAACGTATTACGACCACCTTACGTACACATGATATATTGCCAAGTTCTTTTTTGTTTTTACTAACATTTGGTCGTCAATATGTGTTCATTTATTGTTTTATTTTTGAATTGTATCTGTTACTAAACGTGACGATTGTTATATGATCAAACAAGCTTCTCCAAGCAAAGTTCGATCATTATTACTACATAATACATGAATATCTCCATTCGAAGATAAAGATAGATAACTAAATCACCAGGTAGTTTACTTATCTATCTACATCTGAAGAATGGAGCTATGAAATATGACTAGTATTTGCTATTTGATATTAGCCGTCTCTAAAAGTAGTTACGCGTTACGTTCGTGGATTATTGTGAACCAATTTTAACGATTCTTGATTTGTTTGGACTTTAATTCTTCAATACACTTTGTGTTAGCACCGACTTCACAATGTGAAATCATTTTATTCTTATCGGTTTTGTGAAGTTGGATTTTTTTGGTTGGTTTACTTTATGAAAGTTAATTTTTCAATAAAATTCTTACAGAAGCCTTTTTTATCTTCATTGTATTCACTTGTTAAACTACTGACACTATACCTGTACGGTGTAGTGGCGGTGTAAGTATATTTTCAAATTCCCATATCGCCAAGTGTGTGTTGTAAGAGGCGACTGAGTGAAGAACACGGAGATGAGTAGCAGCATCTCAAAATACCTGCGGTTGTCATGCTGGCTGACTAGCTATGGCAAATGTCCCCTTTACAGGACTATCTATGGGAAGGAATGTTCAACAGTGAACTTTGATAAATGAATGAATGATATTTGCTTGATCTTAAGTAAAAGAATAAATATTACCGCAAACTTTCAAATCGGTTTAGAATTTGAATTTTATGTGTCAAAAACAGTTTCGAAGCTGTCATAACTTAAAAAATAATTTTGAATAAAATATAATTTTATTATTTATGAAAGCCAGTCTTTTGTCTATTGTTTCTTTATACACCACCCGCTGTTCTGTCGCGACTAAACACACAAGTAACGCCTCCTACTGGGCAGCTAATGTTTTTATTGGGAAAGTTATAATACGAAGAAAGTAAACATTTGTGTACAATATAAAATACTTTTTATCTAAGTGCGTGAGTGTCACACAAGTAATAAATGGCCAAGCCTAAATATTTGTCTTGCGATTATTCATCTACATTATTTACGAGCCTTAGAAGGTGTTATTATTCTAAGTTTGTTTATGTCCTAGAATTCTAGATAAATAATAGTTATCTAGAATTTACCGGGTTTACTGGATTCTTATTTCGCATGTACCATGTTACGGCTAAATTAAAAAAAAATGAATAGGTGGCTTTTACAGTTTCTTTTACAGCTTTTACAGGGTTAAAGTAAATCTCATCAATATTAACACATTTTATTATTTAATTCTGTTTAATATATTTTTATTGTTTCATTTATTTATTACTTATTTTATTTAACTATAAAATAATAATTTTGTTATTAGTATTGAACAGTAGAAAATGTAATAAAATACATTTAATCTGTGTGTATATAACAATGTGAAATGCTTTACACAGAATACAATTACAAAAAGGCCAACTCTTGAACTTCAACACTTATATGTAATTCTCTTTTATCAACAACGTAAGAGATTTTAATTTTGTTTGTCTGATCTTTTTTATCTGCTACCATTTTAAAATGAGGCTCTTACTAATTAAATAAAAGAATAAAAGAAAATGTTGTTCTAAAAGTTGTGTTTTTCGTTACATTTTTTGCTTATTCATCGTTATCATCATCAGCCTGCCACAAACTTTTTCCAAGGCGCGCCGCTTAGTCCGAGCTTCTTTTTCACTTTTGCTTATTAATTTTGTTTTATTACAATCACCTGTTTAAATACACACTAAATTATGTCAAAGCATACATTTCACAGTTTATAAACAATTTCAATTTACAACAAAAAACCCTGTTTCTTGCACACATATTAAATGATATACGGCAAAGATTATGTCGCCATATTTCATCTTGTTTTATTTAACTTCTAGCCTGGCTTACTTTGGCTTCGGTCGCAAAGTGACAAGAAACAAAATTATTGCCCCATAATTGCAAATATTGTGCCCCATTTAGTCGGGAATATATTTTTTTATAACATTCTAAAACATTAATATTATTTAATCTAAAATTTATTTGCACTTTAACGGTTCAAATGTAAAATCAAATTTATAGAATAACGGTGACAAGCGAACACACAGTACACCTGTTGGTACCAGTAAATGGATGCTGTGACCTATAGACACCTACATCTGATCCGAAAAATGTAGAAAAAACTCTCCAACAACAATAGAAAATATTTTTTTAATATTACTGTTACTATTATTGAGATTCAAAATATTTTTATTATTATTAATTGTAAAAGACTTAACAGAATTATCTTAAAACGATCGGAAATAAACTTTAATATTACCTTAAATTGCAGCAGATGAACTGGCCAGAAGGGGATCGGTCCTAGCAACTATAGGTCCGGAACCAATAATACCAATCCCCTTTGGCTACTTTCGTTCACTGGTACGTAGATACTTCAATAATTTACACGCTCAGCTTTGGAAAAATTTAGTAGACTGTAGACAAGCTAGGGAGGCCCTACCTGAAATAAACAATCGTCTAACCAAGGTTCTAATGAGACTGAACAAGCCACAGATCAGGATAGTAACAAGTGCTATCACAGGACATGGCTCTTTTAACAAATATTTGTTCACCATAGGTGTTACTGACAGCCCCCTGTGCAGGGCATGCATGGGAGAGGAAGAAACGGCGGCTCACGTGTTGCTGACATGTCCAGAAGTCGCTTCATACAGGGCTAAACATCTCGGCACGCCGGGATCGCTCCCCGAAGTTGCTTGCAACATCAAAGGACTGCTGAGCTTCTTCGGGGAGATATAATGGCTCGAATAAGCATATTATTCCTGCCCACATGCAAAATACGCGCTTAGACGTGGAGTTGCGGAAAACAGCCCGTCGTAAACTAAACTAATTACCTTAAATTTTAGGTATTTGTACTCAGGCATAATCGTAAAAATTTGTCCTTTTACCTGACTCGTTAATAATTTTTTTTACTCATCAACTTTATTTCGTTTTATAAAAGTTTTTCATCTAGTCATAACCAGTATTTTAATTTAGCATTCACCAAAGTACCTTCAGGTCACTTCATAAAGTACCTATAAGATTTATAAGTATATTTATATATAAATCCTACGTACTTTTAGCGAAACAATATATTGTAATGAAAATCTGTGATTATAAAAATAATAATAATATCTTACCTTGGTCAAGTATGTATCAAATTTAGTTTTTGGAATATTTTGTATTTCTACAGCGATCGATATTTTTCATCACGAGCTGCTGTAAACAAAAGATATAGTAATCCACTCACGGCGGTGGCTGAGCCCTTAGTGATGCAGTGAGTCGAAGTGTATCTGTATTTAGTAAAATATATTGTTACAAGGCTGCGCAAACACCGAAAATTTCGAATTTTATCTGCCGGAAAAAATCAATTATAACTGAATAAAATAAAATTAAACGGCCATTTACATTCCATGGCTTCTCACATGATAGATGAATTAAAAAAATATAGATTGAGTTGAACAATTGATATTTTCAAAAGTTATCGTGTTTACCCCTCCACGCGGACGTGATAAATCTACACCATAAGCCACTAAAACCACTTTTTTAAGTAAACGCAGCATTAAATCAATTTAAAAAAAAATAAGTTTCTGACAATGTGCTGTTTATTTATATGTTCAATATGATTGTTAGATACGATTACATGCGACAAAACGTTGGAATCTTGATTTTTAGGCGCTAGTACAACATACCTACGCGCTTTGCTCTTAAAGCATACAATAGAATACCTGTAAAAAGCCTGATATTCTGTATGAGCGTGATCTTTTCCTTTTTCAAGCCGTCCCATCCATGCTGCTACGATAAAACTTATAACTTTATTGCATATAATATTGGCTATGACTGGAACTTACGCCTAACACAGCACGTAGCACCGCTTGTAACCGAAAACTTAAGCTTGCCTCAGGCTCAGCTCAATGTAGCGTCCTATTGATTCGTAAACGTTTACTAAAAAAAATACGCTTATATCTATTCTCAAAGTATTATGGATAATAAACACATTAATATTGAGATTTTCTAGAGTTCTAGAAAAATTATAGACATAATTCTCAATCGGTTTGGAATTTAGGCAATTTTTCAGATTTTGCCGCCACGCGAATGTAAAATAAAAATAAGGATTTTTGAAATTCCTTGAATAAAACGATAAAGATATATCATAACAAGTTACTAGTTAATTATTTTGTGGAAACTCCAATTACACATTAAAAAGAACAAGATCTTTTGTTTGCTTAAAAACATTTAATTGTTGCAGGGTGAAAAGGACAACGGAAAGAACTGCATTCTTTCGTGCGAAAAGAGAAAAGCTGACGATAGCGACCTTAATAAGGACTTAAAAAAGGTTTGTTTTTGTTCATTTCAATTTATATTCTGGATCTACATCAGATTTAGCTGACGTAGTTGATACCCTATTGACATAAAAGGACGACTCATTCTGCTTTCTTGGCGTAACTGTATTCTAATAAAATCAGGAACGAAATCAAAAAGCACGCTAAGATTTTCTACCTTGGAGCTATTTGTTTTTTTTTAAATAGAATAAGGGTAACAAGCGAGTACACAGACGACCTGACGGTAAGTGGATACTGTGGCTCATAAACATCTACCTCTATCCTCGATTAAGAATCAAAATGCAGACGCGTTGTCACCCCTGAGGACTAAGAGGGAATGCCTCGTATCTAGTAAAAAGGGTCTTCGGTTCTCTATTCTCACCATACAAAATACAGCAGCTTTGGGCTGCTATTTTACGCTGGTATTCTGTGAGAGCGTCGTCCTTCAACGGTCGGGCCAACCCATTCATGCTTCAACCATAATATAGCTGGAATATGGCTATATTCCAGCTATATTATGGTATATATATATATATATACGTAGAAAGCTATTTTAACCGCCAAGCAGTTACAATCTGCGCTGAGCACCGCTTTAAAGGTGATAAGAACCAATATATTTACAGCTCTTAAGACAGTTTATATTATTCTTCAGAAGTGTCAATGAAACCTGCTTTGTCTAGGGGCTGCAGAAGTATTTTACCAGGTGGACTGCTTGCACGTTTCCACTTATTTTTTAGAAATCAATGACGTAAAATACACACATAAAAGACATACTCATTATATTGCCTTCCGTCAATGTGACTAGAACTCAGACACGTACACATATACATACATAAACACTCACGCCTGTCACCCAGAGGGTTAGGCAGAGACTACAGACTTCCATTTGGCACGATCCTGACACACCTCTCTCGCCTCCTTCACATCCATACACCTACGCATACATGCTCGTCGGTTAAGGGTACTCGTAATTTGGCCCGTTTTCAATAAATCGCCAATTTGGTCGATAAATTTTCGCCTAGGACGTCCCTTTCCGACTCTGCCATTCACTTCTGCACCATAAATTTTCTTTGTCATTCGTTCCTCATTCATTCTTTCCACATGACCAAACCAACGAAGCATTCCTTTCTTAATCCTGGTCACATCATCTTGCAAACCACACTCTTCTCTTATTACACAATTTCTTACCCTGTCATTCAGACTCAGCCCTAACATACTCCTTAACGACAGCATTACGTTACGTTACGACCGCGTTATGAACACTCAAGTGAGAAACTTTCTTACGTCTGTCGATTTATGAGATCTTCGTTGTGCTAAATATAAATATGTATATATTTATAGTGCATGGTCCAGGTTTTAATAAAAAACCGTTACTTTCACACTAGCATTGCTCTTGTGTTGTGGAGGTATTTTACACATATACATTTCACACTGACCAAGGTCTAGGCCTGATACTATGATTAATAATCAAAGTTTTTCAGGGTGGATTCGAACCTGTGGCTCCCAGTGTCATGTCTAAATGCTACTTCCAAGCCGTCATTAAACAGTATATGACAATAGAAGATTAACTGGCCTACGGTAGTTTTACATAAATGTCTGTTTGTTGCAACTTATGTACTGCTACTGCAGTTGCATTTCTTTTACGTTAGCTTAGTATTCCTTTGTACAGTTGACGGGTTGACACGCAACGTGAACAGATTTAGAACTACTGCAAAAGAACCTTCGACGTGATTCCGTTGTGCAACTTAAGATTTTTAAATTTATAGTGCTCTAAGTTCGAACCCTATTTTAACCGACTTAAAAAAGAGGAGGTTGTAAATTCGACTGTATGTTTTGTATGTAGGTGTGTAATGAGATATCTTGTGAATCGATTTGGATAATTCTTTTTTTAATACCTTAGGACTTTTTTAATTTTTTTTTAATTTGAAGAAAATCTAACTCTGAGGATAGGAAAATTGGAAAAGAAATTTTTAAAGTAACTATTTAGACCACAGTCAAGTTGTTAACTTGAGCTTATGATAATATTCCTTGGCTTTTGAATTCGAGGCCTTAATTCTTTTATACACTATACTTTAGCGCCGACTTGACTGACGCTGTTATGTGAAATTATTTTATTATTTATTGTTCCTTTAAGTCGGCTTTTACGCTTTATCAAAAGTTTAATTTTTAATTATTTTTCTTTACCATGTTGTTACTATTCCAATGTTTTGAATTAAACAGTGATAGGTAGCAAAAAGATACTGGGCTGTGAAAATTTTTAAGAATAGGATGTTAATAAGGACTTAAAAAAGGAATAGGAAGTTAATGACTTACTGTTGTTGCACGTGTCCGAGTTTTCGTAGTTTATAAATAAAATATTTTTTTAAAAATACAAATTTGACAGTGGCTGATGTAGATTAAATCGTAACAAATTATTTACTTTAATGTCAATATTCAGAAAGAAAACAGAGGAATATGTTACCGGATATACAATTCACCTTAGTAGTACTCCTGTTAACCATTCCAGCTGAACATATATGCTTATTTATTTTATTTATTATGATCAAACTGAGTTCATACATGACATAAACAATTAAAAGCTACATAACTTGTGTACAGATTATATAATGACATGGCATTTGCAGTAATTTACAGTACTTTTTTACTGAATTAAAAAAATACTTAATTTTTTACTAACAAAATTGGTGTAGTTAATAAATAACAACAATGGGAATAAAGTCACAACATAAACAAATATCGACATTTATTAATATCAATAAGTTTTACTAAAACCACGCCTAAAAATTACACACGCTGTATTTTTTTTATAATTAGTTCATTTGGTAATCAGCAATAGTGTGTTCCTCTATCTATCCTGTATCTATCAAATAACAGCCAAAAACGAATACTGCTCATGGTATTTGAACTGTAATCGTCTTCGTGTTTTTTTTTTATTTATTTATTTTGTTCTTGCTTCCGATCCCATTGTTAAATGGTAAAATTAAGAAACAAAGGGAAGTGAGTGTGGTTTTTATTTTTCTGTGAATGGTTTCTAAATATATAATATAATTATTGTATTTATGTAGATACTTGCCATGCTATGATTCAAAAAAGGAAAAAATGTATTTTGAAACAACTTTTCTCTGACACCGAGGTGACCTAGTTGTGGGTCGCTTCGGTGTAGTTATTCACCCTGCGGGTTTTCGTAATCGTTAATATCATTTGGTAACATTAATGACCTAAATGAGATTCTTCGCATTAAAAATTACTTTAGCAATTTTTAAAGCATTGTGATTTTTATATAACTTTTAACTGTACATTTAGATATGAGTTAACTTAAAAAAATGAACGTAAACATGTTATAGATATACCAGCACTATTCAGGATTTACTACTAGATATTTTCATTGTGGGGAGTCACGCGAACCGCCTGGCCCCTAACAACGCGGGTAGGTGACCTAACCCACGTAATAAATTATGCGAACTTACATTACTTTCCGAATTGCTTTGTTTTTATTTATAATTGGACTACCCATAGAATAATATAATACATACAGAGCAGAACAGGGGAGTGGGTGGAGCCCGTTTAAAACCCGTGTAAGACCTAAAATGTCACTAACGTGTCAATTCACACGTATAAATGTCAACAAGAGATGTGTTTTGACGTAACAATCGTTTCCAAATTTCGCACGCAAATTATTTAGAAAATGCCAAATTGCACACTATTTACATATAATTATGTATTAAAATTTAAACGACATTTTTAATAAAATTCTTGATTAATGTTCAAAATAAAATAATTTTGAACATTAATCAAATCTAAAATGTGTAAATTTACTCAGTCTGTCAAAACAGCGAATCGGGTTTATAGTAATGATAATACGACGTAATTGCTTGTATGTGTGCTCCCGGCGACGCGGAATCTCGTACAAAATAAGTTTGATAGCCATTCTATTGTGTATTACAGTATTCTATGGGACTACCAATGTTAATAGTTATAAAGAAATTGTTAACTAATAGCTTATATTACTCGTGTTACTGGTGCATGCATTACCTGGAAGAGGTAAAGACTTCCCTCACCTCGTTGGATGCCCTGATGCAGATTTATGTTTCATCGAATGAGTTTATTTGTTAACTATTACTACATACATATACTACATTATATTAATAGAAATGGGTCTTGAAAAGGATTATTATAGTGACGTGTAGACTGCATCACAAACGTCCGAGGCCGAGGTAAACTTGCACTTGATAACCGATGTGTCCTAGACATATCATCTTAGTGCGCTTGGTAAGCGGGTTTGTTGTACCAATACGGCTTTCCCGTGGACATCGCACACCCATACCTTTTGTGGGCGGCGTCGTAGCGCATAGAGTTATGATACGTCGGCTTTCATTCTGATCGAGATGAGTGTATTTGTAGCACTTTTAAGTGTAACAAGCATAATACTCAACTCCGTGTCTTAGTGCATTAGCGCTATGATACGTGGATTTTTGACTATTAGCATCTTAGTAGCGTGCTACTTTGATACGTTGGTGTTATATTTAGTTACCAACAATACCAATTTCTGATCGTCGATAGGGGTCATTTTTTATAGGATAGGGTGACAAACGACCACGCAGTTCACCTGATGGTAAGTGGTTGCTATGGCCCATAGACATCGACATCTATCCTCGATTACGAATCAAAATGCAGATGCGTTATCACCCGTGAGGACTTAGACAGAATGCCTCGTTTCCAGTAAAAAGGGTCTCCGGTTCTCTACACTCACCATACGAAACATAGCAGCATTAAGCTACTATTTGACGCTGGTATTCTGTGAGAGCGTGGTGCTTCCCCGGTCGAGCCGACCCATTCGTACTACAACTATACTACTAATATGCAGCATGGCTCTACCACGTATACGATAATGTGGGTGTGGTGTGACGTTGTGTGTCATTACTTATTTACTTGACCTCAATCCTAGTACCTCAGACACTGTTGTACGAGTCCATCGAGTTCACAAGATTTTCATTCTGTGCGAACAGTAAGAACA